GTCTTGTAATTGTATATTAGATTCGTTCGACTCGACGGAAAAGTAGAATAACAGTCGGTCATAAGAAAAAATAGATTTGTCAATATATATATGTATATTAATTTAGAAAAAGGATTTCAATCTATTTTCACATTTTTTTATATCACATATGAAAATATAAATATTCTTTAATAAAGTTGAATGCTGTTTACATGCGACATCTATCCAAGAAAAATTCATATAAAAATTTCACATTTTATTTATTGAAATTAATAAGTGACGCTCATATAACAATTGGCGCACCCTTTTCTCAAAGAATGATAATAGAATCTTAAAAAATACCCTAGTTAGATTTCTCTTGTCGAACACAATTGTCTGTTGCATATGTATCGACTAGTTCCTTCATCTTCTGTATTTTCATTTTGCAAAAAGTTTAAGATAGAAAATTCTTAGTCGTCATTAATAAAACAATCATATCTTTGTAAAACTCCGATAAATTTAAAACCATATTTTTCTCAGATGATAACTATAATCATCCTCTACAAAACTCTCTATTTCAATCAACTATTAGTAGTTATGTTTCATATAGATAACGTCAATTTACAGAGAGATCGAAGCTTTTTGACCATCCTTTCTGATTAGAGCACAGGTGTGATGCTAGTCTACTTATTATCAAAGTAACACTGGAATATACGACGTTGTTTTCTAGTTGATCGATGTTCAACTATCTTATAAATATATGGTTGAAATAAATTGACCGCACAATTTTTTCTCAATAGACCTCTGTTTATGTGTGCGCAGAGGAAATATCTTCACCTTTCCATGGGAGACAGAACGCAAGAAAAAAATGACGCATCACACTATCACTCGATTTTGTTTTTATAAGTATCTTTGTCTGTTCACGTGCATAGAGGGTGCTAGATATTGGCCAAAAAAAAGCCGGATCTGGACCCGATCGGGTTCAGAAAAACATCGATCCGCAGCTCTCTACTCAAGAGAGTTCAAAGCATTTTCATTGTGACCATATCTAGACATACTTTTTCATTAATCTTAATAGGATTATTACATATTGAAAATATCAATATTATCTTCTTTCGTGAACAAATTTACCATAATGAATAAACTATGCTATTCATTTGAGATTGTATTTCTTTCTCTATTAGCTTTATTTATCTCAATTAGATAATATACGTAATAATTTCATATGTTATAGTTAATCTTATTTTCTTCCGAAGTTCTTTCCTAATACAGATGATGAGCAATTAGAGGTTTTTATTGATTCGGATAGTATAGAAGCGTGCAGAAGGATAAGGTTAGACATTTTACTACAGTCTCTTCAGCTATATATGTTTTTTTAGTTTAATTTTGATATTGATTCTATTGAATTAAATGCAAAGAAATAGAGCGTATGAGAAATTATTATTTCTATAATATATTTTGTCATCTAATATCAAACTGTTAATGTTTAAGAGAAAAAACAAGAGAATATACTTTTTGTTAATACTTTGTCCGTTGTGGTCATATTTCATTTTGACGAATAGAAGAACAATGAGGGCATTGTTGAGAAATTGATCAAACATGACTATGATTGTCATTGGATAATTTATGGAATGACATATATATATGAACAGTTCATTGGCATTGTCTGTATATGTGATATTGAGATGGATATTTCGAAATTCGAATCATTACCAACTGAATTATGGTTACATATCCTCAGTTATTTATCATCTTTCGATTTATTCAAAGCCTTTTTTCGTATTAATAATAAACGTATTCAACAAATGATTGATTCTCAATCGTTTTTACTCAATACAAAATTAATATCATATTCGGAAATGAATCAAATATTCGTTATGCATAGTTATCTTCTTCAATTACGTACAATCATTCTCAGCAATTCATGTTCTTCTTCGGCTTTCTATAACTATTGGACAAAAAACCTCCCACCAATGTCTGTAACACCAAAAGTTAAACAATTGATTCTACTAAATGCAAGCTATTACATATATGGTCTTGTTGATTCTCTACTTATACCTCTGTCAGTTGGTAACTCATTAGAATATCTTCATCTAATATTTCAATGTCCCGATCGTACATATATGATGTTTATCACTTTTTTGATTCAAGCACAAATATCTTTTCACACGATGATATTCGAAATAGAAAAAGGTATTTTGTGGTTTTTTTTTGTTGATAGATCTGAATATGTTGATGTATTTAATGATTGAAAATAAATTTGTTTAGATTGGTATTGTGATAGGGAAGTAGTATATTCGAGTTTATCCGAACTAAAAAATTTACATTGGTCATCTACTGTTCAATTGACTTTAACTATTCAATTTCCATTTGAAATGATTTTTATTCTTGAAACGAATGCGATACCATTTCTCGAACATTTGTATATAACCGTTGAACAAGAACAATTACGAATAAAACCTTATCTAGATGCGCCACCACCACAAATCCAATTCTGTGAAAGTGATATTCGTCAAATGACTGATGGAACTCGACTTCAAACTCTTGTATTACGTCATTTAGCTCTTTATAATGTAATAATATTAATTCGTTCTTTCAACATGCCTCTTTTGAATAAATTAACACTTGTTGATATATTTGATGAAAGTAAGTTATTCAAGTAACGATGAAATTCTTAGTTATGAATCAGGTTATACAAGATTTGACAATGGTAGTTAGTTTTCTTTTCAGAAATCTGTAAGTTCTAAATTAGAATTAATGCTTGTAAAGAGGAGACTATAGAATACACATTCATATGCAGACGTGTCATCATTGAAATAACTGACTTCGTCTTCAAATATTTTTGTTTACCAAAATATGTTTTTAAAAATTATCTGAAAGAAAATAGAATTTACTTTTTATTTGTAGCACTTATGCATTGTGAAGAATTTTGTCAAATTATTAATCATAAACATCTACCTTGTTTGAAAGAATTCTACTTTCTTATTTATTTTCCTGGACATTTATATGAAGCATTTGAAAAGATTATTGTCAACATATATGATGTTACATGCTTCTTTAACAATCTTGCTTATCATCTTGATGAACAAGTTGTCTCTATCAATTGTTTTGAGAATGTAACGAAATCAGTCCTTCTCTTTTATACTTCTCCATTGGACGTCTTATTACAATATACACGATCTATTCACAATCATTCATTTGCACAATATTCAACTCAGATCAATCGTCGTTCTATCAAATGGATATGTAATAAGATAGATAGTCTTAATCAGTTGACAACTACTTTCAACAAATTGGCTAGTGGACATTTAAATACACTTTATTTAGAATTCTACAAAACAAAGGTTAGTATACAAATAAAACTGATAATCATGTTCTTTGCGTTGTTGGTTTGTCAAATGACAAATAAACTAATGAAGGAACATATTCAACTGTCATATCGCTGTTGGATCGGTCATGTGCACAAAAGATAGACCTCAGTGAGTTATTAAATGCTTTAGAATAGTTTG